GCCCGCCTGAAACGATACCCCGGGCGTCGATTCCAGCTCCTTGATGAGCGAAGCCAGGCGAGGGACGAACGACTCTAGGAGTGTCTCTACCTTGCTCGTGAACTCCACATTGCGGCCGCCATGCAGCGCCTTGCACATCAGCCGCCAGCGCTTCTGGCACTGCAGAACGTAACACTTTTATTCGTGGTGAATTATCTAAACCAATTGCACGAGCTGGTCCATTTTAGTGCCGACACAAGATTTGCACAAACATCGAGCAGGGGGAACAAAAATTGCGAGACACGTGCAATTCTCGCCAGCGTTCCCTGAATTCTCAGGTGTTTCGATATTTCTCGTTGATTGCAAATGCAAAACAGCATGAATCACTGCCCTTGTCCCAATAATGTGATGTCGGTGCTGGGCGCTACGATCCTTGGTGAACTCTGTATTCCTGTTTTGTGCGTACAAGACGTCATTGCACTATGCAAACTGTTGGTTGCGAGAGGCGATGGAAGGACGCATTGCATCCAACTGACGCCTTCAACACCGCAATCAACTTCCCTGCAAATCTGGGCACAAGGTAAACAACGTGACGTTCTTCGGCGTACAATCGCACAGGTGATTGATACTGCTTTTCTCAGGCACATTAGGCGGCCAACATGTACCCCTTCGCTTGGCCACGACAGATCCTGTTTCGTTCATTGAATGAACGCTTACAACAAAATCAATCAATCCAGAAAAAAAAAACTATCTGCTGATTTGGGTTCCAAGACTTCAGGAGAGGGCCACAGATGTGCAACATGAGCGGGAGTTGGGCGTTAACTGCACCTGTGACGCTGTTCGGCCAGGCACAAGGTCGTCCCAGCAGACATCCGACTCCTGGCTCTCCCCAGCGAAGTACAAAGACGCAAGCAGCCATTTGTCTTCGCCTTTTCCCCACTGACCACATTCAACCATTGACGGCATACTTGACGTGTACCTGCTCAAGCCCACCAGGAACGCAGGCACATCATATGCCCTCAGTGCCTCTCTGGACGTCACTGTGCTAATCATGGGGCATTTCCCAGATATCGCAGAGAGTGGCATGCAGCTTCCAAGTTGAGTTGACCATTCCAGGCTATGAGATTGGGTTTGGAGTCCGGAAAAGGGCCATGGACACAGGGTGCAACAGCAAATGAGCTGAATGGAATTGGGCATGAACACTGGACATATCTGCAGTCCAACTACGTGAACCTGATGGAGACAGGCACTTGCAAAATGTTACAGCACCCTGTCATCTGATAAATAACCGCATAGGAATAACCAGATGGGACTTGTGTATAATGGTTAATATTCGATTGTGGGTCAAATTCTTTCTATTCAGACCACTGGAGCAAACAAGCCATTGCAATTTGCGGCGATGTCTGATTTGCACACACACACACACGCACACACACCTCCTCACTTCTGAAATGCTGGCATCCCTTCCTCGATATTGAACATTTACAACCACAAGAACACTACCACCACTGCCACAAGAACCTTTTGGGTCCACACCATCTTGTGCTTTCTTGTGAGATGGTATGAGGCCCACAGCTCTTCAGTTACGACAGGGACAGTGGAAATTGCACTCCTATTTGATGCAGTATTCAGAATTGAAGCCAGAACTTTCCTTGCCCGCTGCACACTGCACAGACGCAGAACACCCATAACTCACTTACCATTCTCGCAGGCACTGTCGCTCATTCCGTGTTTCCATCTTGGATGCGATAAGGTCCCAGTTGATGTCATCCCGTACCTGCCGATCGTCTGACTTGTAGCTCAGCTTCCTCTTGAGGGAGTCTGCCACCTCTTCCAGGGTGAAGTACTCCAGCTGCAAGCGCTCGCTGTGCTCCTCTCGTCCCCGCATTACATCGTCCACCAGCCACAGGTACTCCAACACGATCTCCTGAAGTTTCTGGCTCTCCTGCTCACTCCACCCTGTGTGCAGAAGGTGCCAAGGTTGCCGCAGGCAAGTCACATTAAAATCTGTGCGAATTCTTAGAGATTCGCAAAGAAATACGTAGTGTAAAAACGTGCACTTGTGACAAGGATGTGGCAGCTCAGATGCGCACGCAAATGGACCACCAGCAAAGCACAGATACAGGCTGAACAACACAGTGCATCTGAATATCCATCTGAATACCTCTTTTTCTTCCTGGCAATTTGTTTAGGTTTGCAAATTGCATACTTGTTTCCTTTCCTATGTGGGATAGGTTTGTCCAAGCACCATAGCTTCATTCCTCTGCAACAACAATATCAGCAGTGCCCTTCTTTTGTTCCCTGTGCTTTTCTTGCCTACCATGGGCTCCAAAGTCACAAGGTCAGTGTTCTGTCACTCTGCTACATTGTCTTGAGCAATGCATCACATGAACCTACTGTTTGTCTTTGGCAGGCCTTGCTGTATCCACCTCCATCGATACTTGCAACTGGGGTGTGAGCGGCTCAGTTCAGCAGAGATCTTCCTCCATTGGTAGCCCCATTGACTGATCAACTCCGTGAGCTTAGCATCCTCCTCAGCTGTCCAACTGCCCTGCGAATCCACAGAAAGTGCTGAGCATGGCTGGCATTGCCACATTTTCTTTCCACAAAACCACTGCCGCTCACATTTGCCAAATATTGGAATACAATATTGGAATAGAGCGTAAGTGGCCGAAAGTGTCAATCAGACAACAGGCCTTGAACGCTGCACATGCAACAAAGAATTGTGGCATATGTAGTACTGTGAAACAGACAGCCTCACAGGAAACCCGGATCAGTGCCAGGGTGTTTTGGTGCATTCATACTCAGTGAACACATCTAGCAATTCACAACAGATCACTCCCCTGCCATTTACTAGGGGATGCAGGGCGTTCTTCACAAGCACAAGCATGGGCATTGCATGTTACCAACGTGAAACTAACAAATGAGGGCGGTCTCCAAAGGATGACCTCGTGCATGATCGTGTGCAAGCACCCTTATCAGTCATTTGGATACTGAACTCTGGGCACCGAGCATGAGTCACATATGTAGGAAAATTCTGGAACTATCACAATGACACGAATCAAATCACCCTGGTCCCCCTCTTAGATCAATAAGCAATCTATTTGTTCGATCCTCACATAAGCAGTCAAAGAGGAAATTCATAGGCAGAGCAACTGCTCACATTCCCATGTTCACACCCACAGCACGTTCAACAGAGAGACTCCAATATTGAAGGAATGTCTACGTGCTAAATCGGTTCCATCTCTGTGTCTGTTGACATTGCTCTTGTTCTGTGAGACAGTCATCGGCATCTGGATATAAACTAGGAGCCAGCACGAAGCAGGACGAGAAAAACGCAAATCACAACACCATATTAGTAACTGGAGCCGTGAATGACAACTACATTTTCAGCTGTGTGGTCCCCATGCAGAATCTGCACTGTTGCTTCATATTCACCCACACCAATGTCAAGAATTACCACAAATTGTTCACAAAGGGCCAAGAAAAAAGCACCTGAAACTTGTCAAGTTTGGGCTGGAGCAGTTAAAAGGCAGTCTCACAGAACCTCTGTACTTAGGAGGCAGTTCCCATTCTGTGAAGGACAGTTTTCACCAGCCATGCCAGTTTTCTGCTCTCAACAGACAATTACACCTGTTTGTATGCTTTCTTGAACACCAACGCCTTTGCCCTGTCGTAGATGTGCCTTGGCTTCCTGTGTGGAATGTAGTCCTTATGGATCCTGTACCACATCCCCTTAGCCCCACCCGAGTGCTTCTGCCCCTTCCGATTAAACATCCACTCTGTCCATAGTTCCTCATCGGGTATGCCACACTCTGTCGCGATTGCCGCAAGTGCCCGTTCAAGGGCCTCAGTTTCATCGTCCGCCCAGATGCCTGTTTTCATGCCCTTCACATTGGGCATGTCCCACATGGGGCACCTGCCGTCCAGGAAACACACAGAGATGGTTTGAACTTCGAATTGTGGGTGTCACATTTCTGCAAGTGACATGGCAAAGTCCTTGCACCAAATGTTGCACTGATGGGTTCTGACTGTATGTTTAAGGTGTGCTAATAGTACTGGTCAACAAATGACAATATGCTGCCCTGCACACCTGCAGGCGATGTTTTGCGATGAGCTGAGGTGTATTGGGTTGAGATTGGGGACACATTGTGAGTTGCTTGCAGCCGCACACCACCCTTCAACTGCAGCCAGTTGTTTTATGAAGGCAGAGAGAACAATGGCAAAGAGGCACACAAGAAACGGATTCCAAACAGGCGTAGGAACCGATGAAAGTGCTTGTTGGATCCAACATGAACTGGCCTGACACTTAAGTGTGTGGAGGGGCAGCAACAAGAAGATTTGAACGAGGAAAGGTTCTGCTAGCCAAGGCTAGTGACAAAAATGAAAAGTTGCCCATTTGTGGTCACTTGCACTTAACAGCACACACATGGCCTCGTGCCTGCTCCCGTGGGTCCAATACCAATATCAGCCACTGTTGAGTATCTCTGTTTGTATTACTCTATTCCAGTATGCCAATAGCTTTGGGTTTTGTTTTCACAATATATATTTTAATTGAAGTGATAAAGCTTGCACAACAATCTAATGGTTCATGCAGTAGTCCTCAATGGTATGTGCGGCTAGAAGCAACATCACTGCAGCAGCACGATAACGCACACTCTGCCTGTCCTGCGCCTCTTGTCCTTCCCACCCCCAGTACTCTCTCTTGCTCCCATTTCATCCCCATCATCGGTGAAACCCATGACCATCTCCCCATCTCCACCACCATCATGGCTGTACTTTTGCCTGGCAGCTTCCCTGGCACGCTGCGCAGGACAAGCAGGTCAGTACCAGAAGTTTGGCACATTGAATTACAATTCAATAGCAAAACAGTGAGCAACATTTTAAAAGCAACAATGATGCTCAATAGTTGGGAATCATGGCAAAGAATTACCAGATCACTCAAATTCAGGCAAATGTGTGGTGAAACACAATTGTTTGAAACTGCAGTTGCAGAAGCACTGCCCCTCTGTGCTGAAAGTTACTCCCTGTCATTTGCACATCACATCAACAAGCACTGCAATCAGAAATAGATTTGATACGCCTGCAGTGATAGACTCCATCGATGTGTTAATAGACAACCTGCTCAGATCTGAACAGCTGTGCAGCCATGCAAGAATAGTGGCGGCCAATGGGAACAATTCTTTTGAGCACAAAAAAGGGCATGTGCGTGTGAAAAAGCATCCAGCATCACATAGGAGACAGTTGCCAAATGATGTTAACATAGCAAGTTATAACATTTCCGTGAATTGCGATCAGTGCAGAATTCCAACATCAAAGAGGGTTCCTACTGGTACGCCATCTCAAGTTGTGCAAATGCCAGCAGCGCATTCAATACAGGTGATTCATCACCCTCACGTTCACCTTTTTGTCCACCTTGCTCACGCGCCTCAAGGCATTACCCAGCAGGGCGTGCAAGCCATCCTTCGCCACCACCCGTTGCACATTGGGGCTTGTTCCCGAGCGTTTGCAGACATCAGACTGCTCAAAAGCATTTGATGGTGTGGCCAGTGACTCGGCAGGCTTGGTAGACATCGCCAGCACCTGAAAGAGGGGTTCATTGTCACAGTTTACATTTGCACTTCATAGCATTTTTATTCAGCAGGCTCAGATAGAGGCAACATTTCCATCACTGGAAGCACAAACAGGCGCTTTGACTGCAAAGCTGCTTTGGTGCAGTGCTGTTTGCTTGCATCAGCCAAACAGGTCAAGTCTACCACTGGCAATCTTGCACCTTCCAGGCAATATCGGCTGGCGACAATATCTGCTCCCTTGGCAACCTTAGAATTTTGCTCCACAGGCTCTGCACATTGTCTAGTTTCCATACTGGGCCTACCTTGCTTTCACAAAGTTGGCAAAGGAGTCCCTGAGAGAAGAAGTGTGGAATAAAATTTCAGTTGCCATGATGAGACTGGCTGGAAATATCGCCAAAGAACAGTGGAAGAAAACAACTGTTGCTGCTTTGGGGGTGGCTGTATCAAATTCATAGAAATGCCAAGAGATCAGGGCAAAAACCAACCCCAGCACATAAAATGCAGCTGTCTTGATAGAAGTGTGCCGGAGCAAAACCCTCGTGATCAGTTTGCAATTCAACTTCGAATTCTCAGCACGGATGTGCATAACGTTGCGATGGCTTCCTAATCAGGCCGAGGGGGCCTGAAGGATGTCGAGCACACCCATTGAACGCAGCAACTGCTGCAACAGCCAGCGCAGGGCAATCCAATGGCAACTCCCGGAAGCTGCTCCCACCTTGCTGTAATGCAGCCCAGATTCCGTCGCGACTAGGTAGCGAACAGCACCCACATGACGCAATCCTTGCCGTAACACAGCTTGGGGTTTTCGTGGTCCAACCGACTCAATGCAACTCGCTTGATACAACGCACTGCCGCTCCGAACAATGAGCTGCAAGCTGGCCCGCGTTCATGCCTCGCCCACGCCCACCGCCGCGGCCGCTCCCGACGCTGAGTCGCCGGGCTGCCAAGCCCAGCGCTGCGTGGCGTTGCTGTTGGCGCAGTTGCTTGTGAACCCAAACTACTGCGCCTGGTTGCCTCGCACCAGTGGCGATTCTATTAGTACCCCAACCTGCCAAGGTTGCCTGGATTCTATTAGTACCCCAACCTGCCAAGGATGCCTGTTTGAGGTTGTGTATTATTAGCTGTTTGATTGCTTGATCTGATCTGCTGCAACCTTGTTTGAGTTGCTGAGCACGGCCCGGAATTAGTAAGTTAATGGCGTATTAATTGTCCTGTTCTATTGCCTATGTACGACCCCTCTGACGTGTGACCAAGCCAGAACGGAGCTGCGAGCTGGGCAATGGAGAGCTGAGCTGGATTGCCGAGTTAAACTACATGAATCGTTACTAAGGGAAACATCAGCCGGGAATGCATCATCAGTAAGCTATTTTAGTTGTGTACAATCATTCTGATGGAGTGTCAAGCCCGGAACTAAGGAATATTTTGAAGGGTATTATTGACTTCATCATGTTTTACTGATTTGATTGATTTGATTACTGGATCACTATGGAGGGACGTACTTGGGACTGAGCGTGATTGTCGGGGAGTGGCCTTGCTTGCTGGGGACTGAATTGAGCCGGTTGTATGGAATGTATGATGGGTTGTACCACGCTGGGGACAAGTGTTGGAGAATTTGAGACGTTTTGGGGACAAGCTCAGGGGGTTCATGAACGGGGATCGTGGCTTGGGAGGCTCCTCGAAGGGCTGGTTATGACCCGGGACTGCAACTTGCCCAGGACAGGGGATTGGAACATGCGTAGGACCGGGGACTGAAGTACTTTTGTGGTATAAATACGCTTGGAACATTCTTGTAACAACAACTCTTTCTGGGGCCACCATCGCTGCTGTGCACGTGTCTTTGTTTCCGAACTGTCCTCGGACAGTGCGTCCCGCATCTCGTTTCGCCTGCGGGGAAGGAGGCGACCGCGGTGTTTACCGAAGATCGGGACCGCATTCGACGCCCATCAACATATTGTGACGGCTGGTCTGGCATTTACGGCTGCTCAGTAGGACAGGCCTGGTCTGCATCCGTCTGGCGCGGTTAAGGTACGTGGGTTACCGCCACACACCCGACCAAGAGCTTCCAGCATTTTTGCCCGACCCAGCTGCTACTGCCGCAAACCTCTGAACCACATTCACTTACTCTCATGAATATTGCCAGTTAGTTGCAACGACAGAGGGCCCGACCATTGTGCCAACCATCTTTTGGGGATCGCTTCATTGTGCCTTTGGCTCCCCCCTGCCCCAGAATGGTTGAAGAGCGCAAAAACGACGAGAACATAATTCAGGGTGCCCCGCTGCTTTGCATGTGTTTCCCTGGCAATCCAATCCCATTCCAGTTCTACAGAAATCGGACGCAACAGCCCACGGGCCTTGGACAACCAGGTGCATGCATTCTTAACGGACGTGCGCAGAAACGCCCACAGAAGCAGCACAGATTAGCTGAGAAACCCATGCAAGCCTAATGATGAGTATGCCGCGAATGGGTCCGGCCGAAGTCCTAACTGCTGGGATGCCAGACCGCTGGCCTTGAAACCAAACTGCTGGGGCTACATGCCTCAAGCCTGTGTGCAAAGACCGCACTCACAGGGAACCACGGCAAGGTGCATACAAGTTCACAAACTGTCGTCGTTCGGGTAAATCCCCTCCAAAATCGGGAATCGCGGCGTTGTGCCGTCACAGATGTACATATTGCGGCAGACTTTGGGACCCCTTGGGAGTTCGCATCAGCTTTTCTCCCTACCCATTCCTATCAAGGAACAGGTGCACCCATTTGCTGCGAGCCAATACCAGCCTGTCACGTAATCCTCATGCAAATATTGCGGCACCCATGAACAATACACGGCTCAGCCTACAGAAAAATGTCATTCCAGCCCTCTACCCCTTGCCCCATCATCCTAAAAGCAAAAACTAGCGTACTCTAACAACTGCGATCATGGCGATTCAAGTGGCATGATGTCGTGAACTCGATACATTCGTGACTCTTCTCTCGATGTCAGCGCATGGCAAACAAATTCCATCTTTGCTGTTCTTCCACTCAACAGGTCACATCTGCATTTTGCTGTCAAGTTGGGGAAGACGCGATGCCGATTTTGGTACGCTTAGCGTCAATTTGGCGTTAAGCCCCTCCCACATGGTGCCGCTTTGCCATTCCTACGGGATCAGGCCCATTGCTCCGATCTGCCGAGCAGTACCACCTAAAAGATCGTTTTGGAATTTCGGGACGCGGCCTAGCACGCATGCCTCGCGCTCCTTTACCGCCACGCGAGCTAGGAGCAAGGGTTCTCGCCCTTATTATATTGTGCGTTTCAGTAATGTGCAGCCTCTCTGGCACCAATATGCTGCGTGTCAGAACGGTGCATCGGCCACTTGCCTTTGCATCGACTGGACAAACTGTCGCAGCATCCCTGGTGTCGATGACTTGCCCTTGCCTTCTGAATCTGGTGGTGATTTCAGTAGCCTATCCACTCAAAATTCTGGACCGCTAGGAAAGCAAACTCGTCCGGTTGTCACGATCATCTGAGTCTCCAAGCTATCATTGGAAGCCTAGGCATGGCATTGTCAGCGCTATTGTCTGAACGGGATTAAAATCTTCTGTTGCAATTGTTTGTTTCTCTTAGAAACAAATTGGTGCTGTACAAAATATTATGCAACAGTCGATATACGCCAGTGGAGACGCTGCAACTGTCCCTTACCAGGTGGCTTTCATGCTGCATCAATCAGAATGTCCTGGGGTTTCCGGTTCAAGAGCATTCAATTTTCTCGTTCCTTATCTCCATTTCCCCCAACAACCCCTTTTTGTCCAGCCACGGGGTGATTCCTGTTCACGAGGATTGGCGAACTGACAATGGCTGGATACCAAGCTCCGCCTTTCCGTTCCGAGGCGATGCATTCCCCTGTGCACCATGCAGCAGTTTGCGCGTGCGTCCCTCCTTTCTGTCCAGAAAATTGATATCAACGGCTTGACTGGAAAATGTCTGTTCCAGGCACCAGGTCGCAGTGCCTTGGGGATCTGGACATTGGGATCCGGCAGTTGTACTGTCATCTGCGCACCGTAATTTCCGCATTACGGCCTGAGATTTCCGCTCCCTTCGCTTTTCTTCATTTGTCCTGTGCTGAACTGGCAGCGCTTCGGTCCGATGGGTATAAAATCACAACAACTGGCCAGACAGAATTGCCAACAGCACAAGGAAGCGCAATTTTGGGCAGGGGATAGTCATTCCCATGGCAGTACCCGCAATGGCACGACTACGTGTTGTTTGCGACAGATGCATAAACGTTGCTCTGATGATGATGGGGGTTGGGGTGTTTCTTCTGACTGTTATGAGGCCATTTGTAGGCCACTTGGATCCTGATGATGTCTGACGAGTAGAGTACAGTAGAGGCACGTGATATGACCGGCGTGTTGTATCCTCGTATTGCCATTATGGATAACTCCCTGCAGATGCATCAACGCAGATTCAGTTACTATTTCACCAAAATTCTTAGTCAATTGTTCATTGGAATGAACAAATTTGGTGCCCACACAACTTGGTAGTCTGCACAGGTATGCCGTGTGCATGGAATCTGCATGCAGCTACACTGCGTAGATGGTACGCCTGTGGCGTCTCCTGGTTTTTAACGTATTAGCACCAATGGGATCCGACAGGTAAAGGCTCGTTGTACTTCCGGGAAAGTGCAGGTTTTTCGCAGTGAATGCATATACCACACTGAAGGTGGCGGCAAAACATGCGGTTTTCGGTATTTTCATCATGTCTTGAAGTGCAGAAACGGTCATCAGTGAGCGCCCCGAGCATAAAAGCAATTAACAAGGGATGCTAAAGTGCCGAGTTTAGAATGCCGACATCTCTGTAAGTTGGAGAACGCGGAGCCCAGAGGCAGCCACGCTTATGGACAATGTGGTTGCCATTATTGCGGCTGCTCGCAGCTATGATTGGCCATCAACGGGAGCGTGAGTGGAAATGAAATTAACAATGTTAATGGGTTTCTGCCAAGGGAGACGACGGGTGGGCTGCGCCAGGGATTCAAACGGTAAATAATGATGATGATGATGATGATGATGATGATGATGATGATGATGATGATGATGATTGTCAGGCTGTATCAGGCTCTCCGCGTCCGTGTGTACACTTGCGCACAGTCGCTCCCCCAGGCACGGGGACCAAGCCGCAACCAGATAGATTACAGAATGATTGTGTCAGTCATGTAGTGTTCACTGCAAGCGTGTCCCATCTATACTCCACTCAATCATTCCCAATTTCACCATATTTAACACCTTATTGAATTCACCATCAAAGCACCATGTTCTACACAATTACTTGTGTATCCTCCCATCCTCACAATGATGATGATTCAAACGGCGCAGTTTTTGGAACCCGGGGTTTAGTACTGTAGGTCAGTCAAAGTACGAAAATACAAGTGCCGCCAACCTTGTAGCCCTCGGGTTTTGGCGGGCTTTGGCGGGCTTTGGCAGGGCTGAGCGGGGGCGGCTATTTAGGCTTCCCCCTGGGTCCCCCTCCTTATCTTGTTTCGCACCCGGCCTTCCCGCCCTGGAAAGTGATGTTCGGTTTAGCAGTGGATGGAGAGGGAGTGAAGGGAGTGAAGTACGGGATTTGGGAGCTGGCTCATGGGGAGAGTCACTCGTTGAGTGGCGTTAAGTACTAGCGAAGCGAAGGGCAAACTGTGAGTATGGGGACCTCGGGTACAATACACTGGTTTGTGGTGAAGTTGCAAGCGTTTGTCATGGGGGAGTACATGACCGGGTGGGCTCAGGAGGCCGGTAAGAAAGAAATCACCCTTCCGCTCCGAGCAATGGAACATGTGCACATATGGGGCGATGAGAGCTTGACAGTCAACATTCATGTTTGTTCCTGAATTGTGAGTGATCTTCCCGTGGTGCCACCTGCAAAAAATGCCAGTGGCTATGCATACACACATATGCACAGCTTGGGCCAGTCGTCTCAACACTCCAACGGCGCCATCCTCACAGGCACGGGCTAAGGCAGCTGCAAAAAGCCTTGCGGGAATCTGCAACCGCTTACACAAGCCTTTCCATGTCTCCACAACCCACAACATCACACAGATGCCATTTTCTCCAAATGCGCGAGCCAGATCCTGTTCTTCTGGAAACCGTCCTGCGTAAAGCACCCACAAGTCTTCCTTTCGACCCCTGCCATTCTCAAAATCCTTCCTAAAAGGGTGTTTTGTATACACGGGGCTGCACGAGCCTAGTAATACCCAAGTAGCAGTTCTAGGGAGTGTGTGATCCCGTCGCAGGGAGTATTTGGCCCCCTATCAGCAGCGCTTTATCTCTTACTTCTAGTGCGGGGGGCTGTGTGTTTCCCTGTGATGCGCTGTCCGATTACCTGAGGCACCAGGTTCACTCCCACCTGCAGCATAACGCCCATGCAAGTTTCAAAAGACTGCACTCTGCGTGAGTCGTTCACTTGGCACGTCCCGCCACGCACCAATTGACAACTGTTGAGAGCAACTGCTCAAGTCAAAAGAATTTGCCGGCTTCCTTTCTGCTTCCCTTTTGCACGTTTTGTAGATGTGTACGCCTCAAGAAGCTACACCCCATCTTACTATCATTCAACGCCAAGCCCTCCTGGCTGTATTCAATAAACTACCACGCCAAAACTGCGGCCACTGCAGAACAACAAAACTAGCAAGCCCAATTCTAGGATTCTACAGGCCTTGGGACCGGAACACACCTTGCCAGCCACTTGCAGCACCAAAGCGCCATGCAAATCACAGCTGTGGTCCGCAATTTAGATCCATCAGGTTCTCGTAGGCGCTTTGCCATCAATGATTGCTTGTCATGCTCAATGAAGAAAACCATCAAGAATCCCACCTCCATCACAAAACGGAAGGACATTTACCACCAAGGGACATTGATCAGGTGGCACTTACTGCTCACAATGCTTGTAAAGTCTCTCTGCCATTGGTGTACTCAACACAATCTCCTCTCATACTCTCTTGACCCATGTCACTGCCGTAGATCCCACACGTCCTCCACTGGCCCAGTCTCCTAATAATCATCACAGAGTCCACACCCACGTTCCCCACCACACAAGGTAGTGCTCAACTCAGCAAGTGTGCGAGTCAGCAATGGCATTATGTTCACAGCACCCTAGCTCTGCAGCTCTTTACCAGCCATTTCTAACCTTTGCATTACAGTGTGGTGACGCTGTTCTCCTGGTTCCGTGCCAGAGTGTCCAGCTTCGATGCCACATCTGTTGCTTTCTTCCGGGCATCCTGGGCAGCAGCAGCCGCTGAGCTCGCGCGCTGCAACACATCTTGGATGGCTTTCTGTGTTGCACCATCTGCCATCCAGTGCTCATCTGCACGATCCCCACCCTGCCTGGCCGCCTGACATTTGTGGCACAGAATGTGAAGAGCTGTTAGCGCCCATCCATCGCCATTGTCTTCTCGTCCAACCCAGACAAGGCCCAGTCCCAATGTGAAGGTGATGAAGGGTACCATTTGACGATCGTTCTGCCATTTTGTTCAACCATAAACATAGAGGACACATGGCCAAAATGAGCAGAGTTTATGCCAGACATTTCTTGAGTATATATGGGCCAGTGTTCAGTCCTGCCTGTTTGCAAATCTTTGCTGTGTACGTCCTTCCTACACTAGTGGACATGCAATGGGAATGGACTGGCTGCCTCTGCATCATTTTCCGTTCTTTGACACCACACACTATGATGACAATACCGCAGCTGGCATCAGGTCAATCCCATACACAAATGTGCAAGTCCCTTGCATGTGTATGTTGATTTCTGGGCTATCTTCCACCCTTCAGCGCTGTGGGGACTTGCTATCTGTCCTGCTCAACTGTTGTTCAACTGCTGGGGGTGCACCGAAACAACACAGCAATGACATGCCTTGCCTTGCACGCCCTGCAACCGCCTATCCTGCGCTCACAGAACTTTCTTTAATGACTTTGCAGAGCATTTTCACTTTAAAAATCCACCCAACACCGATGGGGAGTGAAACGACAAATGCAGTGCAGAAAATCTGGAATGAAGCAAGCAGGGAGCACCACATATGGTGAAACTATATTTGACAACCAAAGCAGAACATAAGCAACAGTTTGCGCACACAAACATTCTGGGCCTCAAACACTGCCTGTAACCATCAGCCCCCACAGCCCGTCAATAAGCCCACCTCCTGAGCGCGGTGGCAGGCGTCCCATGCCATTCGCACTTTGCCACAGATCTCAGACGTCCACCTGCTGTCCATCACCTCACCATCGACAAGCCCCTGCACCCACTGAGGCTTACCTTCAACCCACTCACCAGCCCACTGTTCACCTGACCACAGACCAACAAAACTTGTCTCTGACAGTTAGGGAATACCCCACACAATTTCCACCCACCTGGGGAGCAGATGTTTGTGAGCCCCTTTTCCATACTGCAACAGCATTCTAACCACAGCACCAAGGGCCGCAACAGCAGCAGAAAACAAAACAAGTGCCACCAACATCAACTGTCATACAATGGCACATTACATTGCTCTTCACTCTTCCCATGGACTGAAAAAAAGGAGCTATCTTTACAGACATGCCATCTGAAGTTAACGAAACAACATAGACAGCCCAATCCAAAAGCCAACCAACCACACCCCCTGTGACCCACCAAGTATGCCAAATCAATGACGACGAATGAGATTTCGGCCAAACAAGTGCGGCAAGCTGCACCGCCCTGCACACCCTTGTGCCACGGGAAGTTTGGCACGACTTTGCAGTTCCAATCGAGACTTAACTTGCTCCTTCACTCAACCAGCTCACTTACCAGTCTCGATGGTGTAGATGCACCACCCATGCTTTTTGCCGCTGCGCCACTGACCCTCATATTTCTGCCCACTAGCAAACAGGTAAACACCATCTCCGTGGGGGATGTCCTTCTCATACTCCCCCAGGTACCTGTGATTTTGAAAACAACGAGATCAGGAGCCACCAGCTCCCCATGAATTTAACCAAAAATACTCACTTTGAGGAAGGCACAATATCGTCCAAGAGTGCATCTGCAGTCCTGTAATTGTGACATATAAGTGGCGACCAGCACTGAACAGCAATGTGTTTCTGGCCAAAGCAGGCTCGTCACAACCTAATATCGTGTGCACTACAACAAACATTGAGCTCACTTTGGTGCATTACCTTTAGGAACAAATCCGATGGGGCTGTGTTGCGTACCCACAGCATCAGGCATTTGCCCATAAACATTTGCAAGCAAAAGCTGCTGTGTGGGCTGTGGGCACACTCATCCACACCAGCACCAAAGTTAAGTGCTGTGATGGTGAAGGAACTGCAGGCAACTGATAAAGCATTGAGCCAGACAAATAGATGCCCTTGTCTTGAAGTATTGGCCATGTTTCATTTATAATGGATCTGTGCAGGCTCCATACCTGTCCCCGTTGGGGAAGCTGTAAACACCAAAGCCATGCCTCTTTCCCCCCTGGTAGTCTCCCACATAGTTGCTGTCATCAGTGCACTGCTGCATTCCCTGCCCATCCCTCAAACCTTGCTTCCACTTGCCCTCATAGTAATCCCCGTTGTAGTACCGGCACACACCCCAGCCACTGCGCATGCCACCACTGTACTCCCCATGGTAGGTGGAACCCCTTGCAAAGGTTTCCGTGCCCACACCCTCATAGACAGCCCTCTCCCACTGACCCTCATAGCGGCCCTCATGGGAAAAGGTGTACAGGCCGTAGCCACCCATTCTGTCATCTTTGAAGTCGCCTTCATACACGTCACCATTCATGAACTGGTACACCCCTTCTCCATTCTTCTTGGAACGAACATATCGGCCCTGTGGCAAGCATGCAACAAAGCACAAACACCTTACAATCATAAAACAGTTTTGCATACCACTTTGCTGTTGTTTGCTGCATCACATAAGGAGTTCTGATGCATGCAGATATGCTGTAGACTGTTGCATGACAAGCAATGCACACAGTAGTTCAAAAGCATTGCAATGGGGATACATCCACCTGGGAATCAGGCACATACATGCACATGGTTTTCGCTTTTCAATAGCACAGCACACCCACGTCCACTGCTTGCATGCTGGTTCCATTCCACTCAAGGAGAGGCCGCCTAAGAATCTTGAATAAACATCAAAGCAGCAGCTGCCTAGCTGACCTTGTATATGTCCCCATTCTTCAACCTTCGCATCTGGAAATCACCAATACGGATTGTCCTTGAGAGGGACTCTTTCTTTGGCTCATCGTCCTTGCCGTTCTTCCCATTCTTAGGCTTCTTCAAAACAGGGCAGTAGAGTCAGGGAAAAGCATCAACATCTCAAAAATAGTTGAACTTCCCATTAGTCAGCACATTGCCAAAGAACAACAACAACTCAACAGGCAACAATGTCACCTTCCAGCTTGGGAGAGCACAGGTAGCATGCTGCACACAATCCTGCAGCATTCTATCATGATAATATACCAAAAAGCTCCTTGCATGAGGCCTTGTTGCAGCTGCAGAATGATCACCCCATGCATATTGAGGTCAAGTTAGGGTGTCTTGCATTGGGCGATGATGCACATCGAGCACCAGGGTACTCACAGATACCAGCAGAAATTTCCGCGTAAGCAGAGTAGTGTTGGAACAAAGGCAGATCCTCTGGTCGTTTCCAAATAGTTGTTTCCCAGAATGGGACACCATCGCAGACCATTCGTCCATTTCACAAAGTCTGGGTCCATGCTACGCTGTGCTCAGAATGGCAGGGAACACTACATGAAACAATGTATTGTTGGCTAGAAAGTGACGAATCATGTGATCATGACAGTGTTTTTGGTCCATTTCAAATCAGCGATCCTCTGACTGTGCAGACATTCCCAACAAAATCCGCAGATGAAACTATCCCTGCCAACTCCTTGAGCAGTGCTCTCTCATGCTCTGACAAAAGCAACTAGGGATTGCCTCCCACCAGCACCCCTGGTCTCACCTCTGGCGGGACGGCATCAAGAATCGCCCGGGACCCCTCCACAGCGCCTTTCAGCAGCGCCTGTGCCAGGGCGGCCTGTGCCGCCCCCACCTTCCTCATCGCCCCATCCAGCCCTCTGGTGTCGCTCAAGGCCTTCTGCCTATCAGTTATCGAGATTGTGTTCCTTTGCGGCACTGGGTGCGCCTCTTCTGCCTGCTTCAGTTCTGCTACTGCCTCCTGAAACTTGCCATCCACCTTCGACATCTCATCGCCAGCAGCAGACAACCGGGCAAGGGCCTCAGGGTCGATGGGTTGGATTTTGTGCAGGCCCTCCAGGTCGCCCAGCAACAGCGCACAGTGGCACGTAAGGGTGTTGAACACGTCTCGCATACTGCGCACCTTTCCACGATAAGCGTAGCTGTCGCTCTCCTGCCCAAGGTCGGTCAGCAGACTTTTGAACTTTGGCAGCACAGCCTGGAGGGCGGCAAGGGCTTCGGTGATGGCCACCACACCCCCAGCCGACACCTCTGATGGCACTTGATAGCTGCACCAAATAGCCAGCAGCATGTCAGTGAAGGTGAACTGCCCCTCACACTGCAGCAAGGATAAGCCACAAAGAAGTAACGGAGAGCCCTACATGTCTGACTGTGACCAACCAGCCAAGAGTAAAATCGCCAACTGGCAAAGGTCACAGTCTACTGGGACTGTGCTTAGAGCCCTCTGCACTCTTCATGACACATGAAAGGGCTCTTGTGCAGTCTTGGTAAGGAAGTGGGGTGGACAGTGCTTGGTACATTTCCTATCTGTTTCACACAGTTCTCACCTAAGTGGGACTGGAGCAGGGATGTCCTCCACCTTAGCTTCACTGCTCACGGCACGGATGTCAACGGAGTAGCCCACAGGTGAAGGCGCCCTCTTCTCACCAGAAGCCTCGCTCACAAGGGCCTCCTCACTCATAGGCGGGCTCTCTGCCACTGGCTCTCCTATTGCCTCCTCTACCTCCTCAAGGCTGTCCTCCATCTGTTCCCTGGCCTCAGAGGACTGGTCACCAGAATCCACACGATGGACATCTTGCCTCTGGCAGTCAAACCAAACCGATCAGTTGCCACAGCACACTGACACCCCTCAGGCTATTGAAGGTGACTGGGGTTGGGGTGCAGAGGACAAGCAGAAAGCACTTTGGAAATCAACACATGGAAACGTGGTGAACCACACCAGGTGAAAGAGCGGCCGCTCAAAATAATGTGCTGCAATTTTAGTGATTCAAGACTTGTACCACCCTGTTGTGATGGCCAACTACAAGCACCCCCTGAAATCAATTTGCACAAATAGCAGACATTGCTTTTCAACTCATCATGGATGATTTCCAATGGATCGAGCATTCAAGGGTGTGGGACATGGCAACTCAACCTGAAGTTTCAACAGATACTGCACAATACACCACCATGCTTGTCGCACATTGACTTGCATTCATTATCACAGTTGCAAAAGTTGCTGGCTCATTGATATGCGTTCCTTGTGGTGCCTCAAACACTCACTTGCTGCCGATGTGGCCGGCCAGAGCTGGTTCGCGACTTCCTGCAGAGCAAGAGCACCATTCAAGACACAGCATTGGAAGCAGGCACACAATGACTCTGTTTCCTACAGGCACAAAAGAAGGTGCACTGACAATATGCTGCAACAACTGCAACAAATGTGCCACCTGTTGCGGCTGCATAACAAACCTTGCAGTCTTCACCACGTGAACATGCAAAGATTCGTACCTCATCGGTGCTGGATCTGAGTAGTTCAATCCCTCATAGTTCGTCTTCACTGAAACACCAAGGCAACAAGATCATCAGTGCCATAGATGGCAAGAATGCACAACCTCTCCCTGACTACTAACATTCAAGCATGTCCATAACTATACAGCTCATAGCTTGGCCAGGAAAACTGCAGACACATCAAGCTGCCTTGTGGTGCTTCTTGAGCAGCAGGAGGCACACCCTTGCAAGACTTACTGCAACTCCCTCCGTGGCACACCTCCAGTACTAGCTGCAGTTTTCCACGATATGAGAGCGATATGAATATCATGGCTTGAGCGTCAGAACAGGGCCAACATGGCTTGGCAAGTGCAACAGCTATGATTTCTCACACTTGCTGATGTGCTCAACATATGAGGACTTCCACTTCAATTCCTCATGATTGCCAAAATTGTTGCAGTATATCTGGCCCAAGGCAACGTCGACAGCCAGAAGAGTTCACCATTGCTGTGACAAGATCCTTACAGCTGTCTTTCCCATAGACGTCAAAGCGTTGGTTGTCCCAGAAGGGTGGCGGCAGCCGGTCCGTGCCTCCCTTGATGGTGTTTGCTCTCCTGGCACGCGGGTCATATGTGTCATCCAGGCGCTTTTCTGGAGGGTCAAAGCAGCACAGCCACAATCAATATCGAATCCTGCCTTACACCAGCCAAAAGCACTGATGCTGGAAGGTGATATTGCACAAAATAGGCACCCCTCCCAATTAACACCTTTGGGAATCTTGTCAATGCAATGCTTCAAGAGCATTGAACATTCCTGAGTGTGTGAGGAAAGGCACAAATTGATGCCAGAGCAAGACAATATTTTTGGAGGACTACAAGAGCGCACTAAAGCAACACAACTCACACATGACCTCACAAGGTGGTAGCTACCCGAAGCACCATGTTGCAACACGGAGAATTCAACTGGTCGACAGAATGAGTAGGATCAGAATAAACACTGTGCTGCACAGCAAACAAGAAGCAAATGATCTTGTGCCCACAGGTCAAACGCCCAACGATTTCATTCTTTGTTCTGGCATGTAAGGCCATCTGACAAAAGGAAAGGACAAACTGCAACAACCAACCAGATTGACGATTGCAGCACAGCACCAAACAACTGGTTGTTGTGATGAGCCCCATCAAGCAGATGCAGCCGATGAAAAGGCAGCCAACTTACTCCTGAGGTACTTGTAGAGCCATTGCAGGAACTCCAGGGTGTCTGTCGGGGCGCCGCGCATCAACTTGTGGATGTCCAGCTCCTGGCCCACACCAAAACAAAAGGTGACAGAAGGTAAGCAGTCTATGCAATGGGAGAGAAAACTGTCCTTTCAAAAGAAAGGAGGCATGTCGTGCGTTGGGCAGTCCCACCCGAACCCCCCTCCTCGGGAAAGACTCTTTGTGGGACTGTGCTCCCCTTCAGAAGATGAAGCACAAGTCTCTCAAAAAGCCACAGGTATCGCCTACAGTCTGCATTCATACCACAACCAAGGCCAGCATGCACAGCAAGAATACAGTCACCCAGGGGGTGCCCGTGCAAAGAGGCTTGCTGGTGTAGCCGGGACTGTGGCGCAGCGCCAGAAACCGGCCGCAGAGGTATGCGCCAGCCCGGGCGATATATGTGCAGGGGGACACGGCCCAAGAGAGCACTCTCATATCCTCCCTGCGAACCCCGACCGATCGGCCTGCATAAGGCTGAGCGGGCCACGGTGGCCGCAACGGTTCCTCGGTGCGCGGAGAGACACAGACCCAGACAATCGACATCGAAAGCCAGCGGGCGGCGGGGCGCACCCTTGTCATCCCCAGCACGGTGAGCCCGGTCTGCAGCTGCTTGTAGTTGGACATGTACTCGTACTCCTCGTGCGCGAAGAAATTCACCTGCGTTGCAATCCCCCGTTCTGTCAGGCCAGATGTCCCCTTCCCCGCACCTCCCTGCACCTACGTCGGCGGCGCTATCCCCGGCCCCGACCCAAATCAGCTCCCACCCCTCACCAGAGGCAATCCGCGCATTCAATCCCATGTGCAGCGGGCCAGGCCAGTTCACCGGGGCCAACTTGAGCCTTGGACTAAAGCCGGCAATCACGAGCACGCTGCGTCAAGCTGCTCTGGGCGCAGGCCCAAACCAGCAGCGCCAGGCATTGAACCCGCCCCTATCGCCGCCACTGTCGCTCGACGCCAATCCTGCCCGGCGAGTCGTCAACGGGCGGGGCGTCCTCACCGCACCCCTTGCCAACCCTGTCGACACGTCCTGCCGGACCACCGCGCACCCAACCCCATTCCGATCGTCTCCCGCGCCCATCCACAACCGCACCTTGTGCATGGGCACCGTGTCCGAGAAATACGCATCCAGCATCTGGCAGTAGACCGCCCCGTTGGCGAACTGCACCCCAACACACAATACGCACACTCAAAATCCCAGCGCCACTGATGTCACACAGACACACCCGCCGACCAACCTCCCACCACTCCCAACCCTCCGCGCCACCCACCACACGCCACGGCCTTCCCACCCCCTCCCGTTCTCCGCGCCCGCAGGTGGCGTGGGCACCTGTGAGCCATCAGGGCGCCACACCACAGCATGGATGCATGCTCGCGCGACACAACCCTACAGTTAAGGCCAAAACGGGCAAAACAGACAGCATTTTATAACCCCGCCCCCCACCTCACCCCACCTCATCCAACCGCGTGAGGGACAGGTCCAGCAGGCTGTTCACCCAGCTGATGAGCTCCATCCTGCTGGCGTAGTACGAGTAGTCGGGCAGCGTGCGCCCGGTCGTGGGCGACCGATAGCCGCTGGGCGGCGGGGTCAGGTCGTCCTGGTCCATGGCCAAGGCGGCGCCCGCGCCCCCGCGCCCTCCAACGTCGAGTCCCCCGGGGAGCGGGTTCGTGTGCAGCAATGCGGCAGGCCAGAGCCGGGGGGGGCGCCGATACGGGAGCCATGCCAGCCGTCGCCATCAAACAGGGCATCCTTCTGACCGATGACTTCATCCGCAGGTCACAGGCGCCAGGGGCCGCTGGAGTACTGGGCAGAGGTCACAGGCGCCAGGGGCCGCTGGAGTACTGGGCAGACCTGCAGGTTTCCTCTCTGCGGGTGCGCACGCCCGACACCCCACGGAGGGCCCGAGTGTTCTAGTGCCGCCGTGGCTGAGTGATGGGTATCCGACAGATTGGGCCCGCGACGACCGGGACCCGCAAGGGACGTCGCAAACCGTATGAAAAAAACGAGCAGCGCTGGGGAGTTGGATACCAAAAAATATCGTCCGCGGGGCACCGCCATCGTGCGTATTTGCAGCCGCCAGCGCAGCTTCCTCGGTCTTTCGGGGAAGTTACCGGCATGGCTGAACGTTAGGCATGGCCCATGGCGATGGATGGTCCAGGACAAGAATAGCCAATTATGACTGCAACAATGCTCACCTGCATGCCTGGTAGATAGGGCCATGTTTGTTGGCCTCGTTTCAGAAACAGGGCGTGGTGGTCGCGACGTCCCTCCTGTCCTTATTTGTTGGTCTACCCTGCTAACCATCAGTGTGTCCCCATCTGGGCATCTCTCCTTCAGGGTGATGTTTATGTTCGCGGCACTGCAAGTGCGCGTGGTTATGTGCAAGTATCCACACAGACGGCCGTGCTTTTACACGTCATGTGTATGCGTATTTACGTTGGACCAAGCAGCCGTGCTTGTCAATGAGAACAACTTGTCAGTGTGAACTCGTTAGCTCGCTGTCTCTGCATGTATCCCCAATATCGTCTCCACCTAGTTATCGCAAAGGGGGATGACGTCGCTGAACAAGCGATCGTTCTCCGCCGAATCTGGCGCATCTGGCTGCCACTCCTCAGAATGCTTCGCTGGCTTGACCTCAGTGCTGCGTGCAGGTGATGCATGTTTATGCATATTGACAGGTAAACACCCAAACCCATACTCGCACGCAATACTTGCGAGAAAGTACAAATCTACAGTTGATGTCGTGTATACGCCAACTCGGAAAATAGAAGCCCAGGTCCGGCCTCATCGTGGCAGTGAGCACGGTCCAGACGGTGCAGTGGACATGGGGAGATGTCCTGCGGCCGGACACCTGTGACCACCGCCGACATATCATGAACTGGCAATGGTTCATTTGCGAGCGCCCGTGGGCTCGAAGGAGAACCGATTGCCGTACAACTTTATCGGCGAGCAGCGGTACCTTCCCTTTCATATATGTCCAGAAGATCCTGAGCTGGGAAGACGAAGCGATTGGGGACAGTGCAACGTTGGCGATGGTCACATGGGCTGCTGAGGTGCTGTAGTGGGGCCAATCAGGCAAGGAATTTTGCAGGTCCTCACTGTATTCATTGATGTAGATGCAGTCCCGGACGCCGCCGGAAGTAGGGGAAAAAGGGAAGGGGGGGCAACGAGCAGTTGCCATGATGATGTCGTGGTATCATCCACGTCAATGTTCATGACATTAAAATTCTGTAGAATGTACTGAATTTATTTCCAATGTGGAAACACGGTCATTAGATATTGCCGCGTATTCGACGAGCGCACGTTCCAATGAAAAGCTTCCACATGCAGGTTCACGCTTTTCAGACACAGACACCGTTGGCCATTCAGTTGGTGCACGATGCACTAACACTCGCTCTTCCATGCTGGTGTGATCATGCGTTCATCCAAGAACACATTTCAACCCCATTCGCACGCTATCGCATTTACCGCCCGTCCTGGTCACTACCCAGCGTTGGCCGCCCTTGACCACCACAATTCGCAATTCCCTACATAGAAACATCGCTATATTGCGACGCTCCACACCCATGCCTATTCACCTGTTTGGCAACCAGCACATGCGTTTATTGACGCTCAGCTGCCGCTGCCCGATGTGGACGAGAAGGTGTCCCGACTACACGAAATTGCGCGCTCACGAAATCGACCTCGGCCAGCTCACGCACACATGCTCTCAAGACATACCCAATTGAGCCCAGCGTGTCCACAAGATAGAACACAAGTGGTGTGTCCTCGCGACAGCGAGAAAACGGGCCTCGACTTTTCATGCTTCCGCTGCTGTATGCCTTGAAATCACGGGAATCGATGTGAACATCTGCGTGATTGTTCACGCAGGCTTTACATCGCGCCGTCAACAACTATTCGAAGCGACTGGCGGCGCTCGTACCCACCGGGCTGAGGCTGCCCTGGCCATCTCGCGAGCGCCCGGATGCGATTCGGAGGAGCGTGGGGTTTGGCAGTGGCACCTGTGCGGGGGAGGGGCTCCTGTTGAATCCGCCTCCCGCCCAAATCTCCATGTGGTTGATCGGGGCTGCCTGGCCGGCTGCAGACACAGCCTTGCGGCCTCTTTTCCTGCGGCCCCGCTTCCTGGTCCTCAAGCCCTTCTCACGAGCACCACAAGCCTGAGTGCCCGCAGACCATGAATCACACGGGTGCCCTGCAGTCCTGACCTCCTCTCCATTCACACTTTGTTCCAAAGTTTGCTTCCCTTCTGATTGCATCTCGCCCCCCCTGCGGCCAAGGATCAATCCTGAGTTGCTTCATAACTGCTCCCTGAAACGCCCCTTTGTCTGTGTGTTCTCGCTTTTATTAGAGAGATTATATAACTGCACGAAATTCAACATTAGTTTAGAAGATGCAAAAGCATGCCGCTGATGAGCGACAAACAACTCATGCCTTGTTACAAAACCTGCTTAAAGCATTCACTCTTCAGGGAAGTTCTTAGAGTGTATTTCTTCTCAGCTTTTAGGGCTGCTCTCATTGCTAATCATGGCTTTTAGCATCCCATTTTTTTAACCCCCTACGATTGGTACAACTCTGGTTTGTGTGTTCCTAAAAAACTTGCAGATGTATCGCATCGTTAGGTAATATTTTTGAGTCATCCTGGCATCCAATAAGGATTGACACCAAGGAAGGGGGAAGGGGGGGAGGGGCGCTTAGCGGGCATTTGATGCCAAGCGCACAAAATTCAAAATAGCGTCTTACCTGACAACTTGCACCACGTAGACAGCATTTGGCCCCGAACATTGGCAAATGATTGCCCATTTGAATATATTTCGAGATTCAACAGACTGAACCTTATCGCGTTTAGGCATTGTAAGAATTGCACAATTCGTGTACGTGTGATGTTAGGTACGTGTGTTGATACGGCACCAAATCTCGACTTTGTGGCATTGATTGGGGCTGCGCAGTGATCTTGACCAGTGGGTTGGGCCGGATGCGGTTGAGCACGTCGAATGGGCGAGTTATATCGTGTGCAGCATAGGTGAGCAACATAAGAAGGCAAGTCACGCCATGACATAGCGCATGCCCTAGTCGAAAAGCCATGACACCAAACTGCGTAAACGCAATGATATGTTGATTAGAATCTTCGAATTATTTGGTTCACACAGGGAACAACAAAGAAACAAGGGCTGGTACAGTTGCAGTTACCAGGTACCAATGCATGTCCACAGAACAATTTTTCATATAAGAAAGGAGCCGCGCTGTGCTATTCTCTTTCCCAGCTGGTTTGTCACCCGGGCTGTCAGCCGAACGCATCCGCGGGGCAAAGAGCTGCGCAAGGCGTTGGACTACTGCAAACAGCTTTCGTCCCCACAGATCCGTTCCAGGCCACAAAATCAAGAGCAAAAATCGGTGATGCTGTCTTCCGAACTGAAGCAGATCTCATCATAGACAATTTATGGAGTGTTTTGATGGTTACCAGCTCAAAATTCCTGATTATCGCTTGAGCACGTACGCAAATGTACATCACACAGCGGTTTACTATATATCTTGGATGATGGCGGTTGCCAATCATAACATTGAACTCTGACAGCGATGTAGAGCTGTGCTTTGCTGATTTATAGAGTATCAATTTCAGCGTTCCCCTGATCGAACTGTGGATGTTACAGATTATTGACTCAAGCAAGCCAATTTTCTGCCAATTGTAAATTGTTTCGTCTACATGAGTTATTTATCCGACAACTGCAATAACAAACTCACACCATTCCTTTAATTCCCATTCGCTATGCCGTTTCAGAATTAAAACAGGCTCAACAACATTACGACCACAACGTTTGAGGTTGCCCAAACTCTTGGCAATCAAGGTGACAGCAAATTTCCCTTGATTCCTGCTGCAAAATGATGGAGCTCTCTTATTTGCTTTGGCAAAAGGTCTGAAAATATCTCACTGCGACTGAAGCGAGTCTTCACATCCGCATTCCGTGACTTCTTGGACGCCATGAGTCACTTCCAGGATGGAGCTGCTGGAGCTGATATGGTCAGCTTTGCGTGCATCCTCCATCGACCCCAGGATTTGGTGATGGCACTGCTCACCCCCGCCGCAATCCGTGTATGCCTGGTGACACATGGTTTTAGGAAGTTTAACACTTCTACATCAGTGTGTTGAGTATGCAATTTGGTACAAACACATGCCACAATTCGCACACTTCAGTATAAAATTGCGCGCGATAGATAATTAAGTTGTAATTCTTGCTTGTCATTTTCCAGGTTTCGCTAGATTTTTGATAGGGATGCTAGGAGATATCTTCAGAAACCAACTTGGTCTCAATTGCGCCATCACCTCTGAGAGACAAAGTTTTTCACAAGGTATTGTCGAACGGATCCACCAACTGGATAACTTGTATCAATGCACGAGTCCAACATTGGCAATACGTGACCACAAATTTTGTGGCACAAAACGATAGTAAATCTGTGGAACCTTTTGGTCACTTGGGTTTATTTCTGATTGCTTATACTTCCGTAAATTGTGTGAATTCAATTTACGTGCCGCATCTGTCTCAGGCATAGGCAGTCGCCAATTCGCCTAACCTTGTGTGTTACAGAGCAATGTGGGTATGATAATATTTT